CAATGCCAGGTGAGGCAGAATCGAGGGTAGGAACAGAGGCAAGGACAGGGCAGGGACAGACGTGCTGAAACTAGGGGAGGTTTAAGGAGAGAAAAAAAAGACAGGAAGGAAACAGTTTAATACATATATGCAACATACAGCGGACATCTGAGGACAGTGTAGTTGAACGCGTGGGCAACATTAAATGTACATTTGGGAGTTTCTCAAACATTAATGAACTTGAGTTTTTAATCAACTTTTTAGTTGACATCATGAACCCAGGATTGTGCTGGAAGTTTGAGGGGCCTGATTTTGACTTCAAGAACAGAGACGACAAGTTCTGTGTGTTCATACGTCTGGGTCCTTTCCCTGTTTCCAGGTGACTCCTCATGGACCCCTGCTCCTGAGTGAAGCCCAGAACCTTCCCATCTATCTGACCTGTTTGAGTGGCATGAAGTGAACCTTGTTTTCTGTCCTTGGAACAGTCCAAGGAAATAAAATTTGCTATCTGATATGTTCCCGCATACAGCTGACAAAGTCTTCATTTGATGCTGAGTCTGGAAAGTCAGAGCCAAGGCCATCACACTTTTAATAATCACAGTTCTTTCCTCTCACATATAAAAGTGGCACAGAATTATGGAAAAATAAAACCAAGCTTATAACAAAAAAATTAGCATCATTAAACATGTCACATTTTGATTTGTCACATTTGGCTATTTATATACACACATGCATATATAAATACATGAATATGTATAAATTTTTTTTCAAACTCCTTGTGAGTGCCAGGTACTGTCCCAGATTCTAGGAATATGTTAGTCAGAAAATGTAACATATTTCTTCTCCTGGAGTTGGTGTGCTAGTGGGCACACACTAACATAGCTGCAGGCTGGCTATTGCCTTTAATAGTCTTATCAAAAGATGAACCTATTCTATCTCACACGCTCTTGGAATCTGGTTTTTAATTTCACATATTTCATCGTGTCACGTGTTGACCAGTGGCATCTGGTGTGTGAATGTCAATGCTACTTTGAGGTCTCCCATTCAGTGCAGCAGACATCTGCACCAGATGTCCAGATGTGAGGGAACACATCACCACCCAGAAGCCTGCAGCTCCCCATAGTCCTGAAACCAAGGGCTTTGTCCCTCCCTCCTTCCATGTCTGTCTTACTCCTCCATGGGTCTTGGCATGTCTCTCCAGATACTCTAGGCTTGCTTCTCTGTAGGGCTTTGGTACTCTGCCTACGCTAATCTCCCAACCCAGTGTGTGGAGGCTCTGTCTCACTTCTGCACGGATGCCACTGCCTTAGGCAGCTTGGCCTTAGAGCACCCCATCTAATATACTCACCGGTTGCTTTCTATCATAGCTATCCACTTAATGTTTCCCATAAAACTTAGCAACACATTAATTTTTATTCCTACTGATGTACAGTGTACTTCTCTCACCCCCAAGCTGGGTAAGCCTTGTTTGCCGCTGCCTCTCAAATGTGCAAGATGCAGAATGAACTTTCCAGAAGTATCGATTAGGTGGCAGCTCAGCATTATGAGGACTAACTTGTCTTAATTGATAATTAGAAAAGGTTTATCTGAGACGAGTTTAAGCAAAATTGAATGCAATGTGTTTTTCTGTCGTAACTGATAATTCAGAACAGAAATTGGATATTATTTTTAAAAGCCAGTTTGATCATCGAAGAGTTTTCTTCACCTTTATTCTGCAGAATGAAAGCTTTGTATCCAGATGGTTTAGAGATTTAGGGAAATGAGTACCTATTTGACCTGCGCCAGGTCCCAACTGCATAGCTGCTGCATTAGCAGAGCCCCTCGGTTCCACTAGTGTTTTGATTGGAGGGCACATCTGTGGCTCACATGTCCAGAGCTCTTTTCCTGGTCCACTCATGATGGGAGTTCCTATCAAACTGAGAAGGTGCCACTTTAGGCTGCAGTGAACCTTTCACGGAATCCCATCACAGTTCCTGGATGGGGAAAATGAGGTCAAAAGAGAGGAAGGAAAGTTCACTGTCTCCCTGGAAGGGTCAGTGACAGAGCTGAGGAAGGGCTTTGCACGAGGCCACATTGGGTAGCCTCAGCCCCACCGTCTCCTTTGAGACCTCTCCAGTGCTTTAAGTAAGTCTTGAAACGGAGATGAAGACTTCCCCAAAGCAAACAAGGGGCAGAGCTACAGCAGTCGTTCCTTAAGGAAATTCCAAGGAAGTAGCATGACTTGCCTCAAGGAAAAGTCACCACCCAGAACCTGCACACACAGCTTGTAGGCCTTCTGCTCAATGAGGACAGAAGGGACTGTCCTAGGGGAGTGTATAGGGTTGTGGAGTCTATGTGATGTGAACATGTGACCCTATCCCGAGGAGTGTCCGCTCTGCCCTTGGGACAGTCTGGGACTGAAACCCATCCTCTTCCAGGCTCTTTCTGTCTGGAAGACAGTCCCTTCGTGGTTGGGACTCTTGAGTCTTGGCTTCTCTGCCCAAGTTTTGGTAGTTGTTCCTCTTCCTTTATTTTAAATTAACTAATTGCTTAATTAACCTCAAAGTGAGTCCCCATCAAAGGCATATTAGTGAATGGGAGGAGTGACATAATACATTGTTTACACAAGTCTTGAAGGGGTGGAATCAGCAATATTTCTTCTTGGTGCAGTAGAGCTTAAAGACGTCCCAGTGGTACAGCTGGAAAGGACAAGCGGGTGGCTGGGTCAGGAAAACCAGTTTTGCACGGTCCCACTGTGGCTGCAGGATACTGGGTCTGGTTGATGTGGAACAGTCATTTCAGCCTGGGGTTTTGAAGAGGCAACATGGCAACCTGAGTGTGTTCAACAGATGTTTCTGGAGACCCCAATCTAGGCTTTCAGATCCGGAAATTGCGTGAATGCAGGATCTGTGGCTTTTGAAGCTGTTCGGGTCCTATGTGTTCTGGGAGCCTTCTGTTCATAGCTGATCTGGAGAGTCCAGCTACTCTGTTTTTTTTTTCTCAGCAATATTGATGAGCCGTGTGAACTGGGGCATGTCTGTCACTTAGCTTTCTTGCCACTTCTGTTTCCTTTGTCAGATGAAGAGAAAAAAGTATCTCTATGCTTGGACTCAGTTCAGATTAAATGAATTACTTCATGAAGGTATTATAATAATAGGTGATAACGCATGGTAGGTCTAATTAGTTGTTAATCATGTCAATGGCATCAGACACTGCAATTTTCATCAGTGCTGCCAATGGCAATGAGATGGTTTCCGAGCTGTGATCTGTAGAGAAAATTATTTTCTGTGGATAAAAGTAGTTTCCCAGGAATTCAGAGTGGTTCACTTTGATTAATTATACTATGTCAGTGTTATATCAATTTGAAATATTCTTGAAAACATCCAAATTTGGAATACCTGTCATAATTCTATATATCCATAAATATTTGTATCTTTAAATGATGTTAAAAGAGCGACTGGTCCACATTCAGAAAATAAGCTTTTAGTGACTTGTGGCCTGTCATTTGCCTAAGAACAAGTTCTCATCCTTCATCCTTGTCCCCTTTCCTTCTCTTCTGATTTCTGCTGCTGACTGTGGTGAAATGGGAAACCCCAGGACACCCTGACTATATGATGTAATATGTTCTCGTCTGTCTGGGTTCCAGAACAACTCCCCGGGGTTCCTTATTGTTCTCCCTCTCTGCACAGGGGCTGCTCTCCACAGGGGCTGCGCTCACCCTCTATTTTATAACCCAGCCCTATTAGAGATCACAGGGCGTTGTTCTTCACTTGTTTTGTGACTAATTTCTGTTCAGCAGAGTTAATTGGTTGTTAATATCGAATACCATGAATTAGGCTCTTTCTGTTATTATAATGAAATACTTGAGGCTGGGTAATTTATAAAAGTAAGGAGTTTGTTTATAGTTCCAGAGGTTTTAGAATTTGGCCCTGTTAACTCTGTTCCGGCCCTCATGGTAGAAGCCATAATAAGAAGAGCCTGTAAGGGGGAGAGGTGAGGCATGTATGAAATAAGCAAACAGAGCATCTTCAGCCAGGCACCAAAACCCCAAAACAACCCTTTCGCTAGGCCCTGCCTCTTACGTCCCACCACTTGTCCACACTGGGGATCAAGCTCGCAACCCATGAACCACTGGGGGACAAACCACTTCCAAACCATAGCGCCCCACCTTGCTGTATCTTTGCAATGTCACAAAATATCAAAGGAAACAACGGTTCCAGAGAAGCCTGAGGATGGCAGATGCTTCAGTGACTATGGCTTGAAGTTAAGCAACTAGAGGATGGAGAGAGGTGTAATTTGTCCCACTGCCTGCCCCGCCTACCTTGATGGGAAGAGAAAGACAGAGGGCAAATGGCTATCTGAAGTTCAGCCCTGCTATGCACTTACGCTCCTCTCTGCTCCACGTGCAACACCCAAATCCAGAAGCCTCAGCAAGGAGAACATTTGTCCTAGGAAGAGATGCTAATTGTACATAGAGTTATTTTGTTTTAAATTCATACAGCAAGTAGCCAGTGCGTGAGAAACACATGCGGTTGAAAATTGCAAAGACTCATTTGTGTGTCTAATGAAGCTTTTGAAAGCAGGCAGTTATTACTCAGAGTTTTGACTGAATGGGTAATCATGATGTATAAATTTGTGTAATTGCTTAACTAACCAAATAGCTTTTTTTTTGTCACTTCTAGATAATAATTTTATTGAAAAAGTAAACATCCTCTCTTCTCTTGTCTATCTGTCACACCCTCTCAGTTTGGGAGTTTTAATATTCATGTGCACTTGCCCTTGCTCTCCATTCTTCTGTGAATCGGGCCCTGTTATTTCCCAGTTGGAAGGAAGAACGGATCACTGGAGGGAGGGGGGTCTTCCAATGGAAACCTGCTGCTGGGGTCCCCTGTTCTCCTGTGCTTCGAGCCGATGCTTCTGGCCTATGCATATTTATTTCCCAGGGACTCATTGAGTTTTGTGTTACTGTATTCATTTTTTAAAGGAGGGCAAATTGATAGCATGTACTTATCTTTTTTCTGTTCCCTTCTCTTCTTCCCAAGGCTCAAAATGCCCAGCAGCTCCATGAGCGAATACAGTCATCAAGTATGGATGCCAAGCTGGAAGCCCTGAAGGATTTGGCCAGCCTCTCCCGGGATGTGACCTTTGCTCAGGAGTTCATCAACCTGGATGGCATCTCACTCCTCACTCAGATGGTGGAAAGCGGCACAGAGTAAGTGTGCTCAACCCTGATGCCTCCCTCCGTCCACTCGAAAGCTGTGGGGTCCACTGCCTTCTTTATTCCGGCAGTGTCTATCATGTTACCCCCGGTCTACTCTAGAGCTGTGGTGTCTGCTATCTTCTCTATTCTGGAAGTTTCCAGATGTAAAGACCAGACCTTGGCCAGGCTCTGTGAAAAGTGGCTTGAAGACAGCAGCGGATCGTGGGTTTTGTGACTCCTAAAGCGGCGTCCTCCACATGCCAGCTGCATGGTGTAACATGCTCAGAGTCCCTGAACACCTCAGTTTTCAGGGTCCAGAGGAAGAACCTTAGGTTGTTACCTCAGAAGGCATAGTCAACATTAAAACTATAATTATCTCGACTGTTAATCCGTCAAACCCTTTGCTTATCCAAGAGAACTTCCTTCCTCTGACTGGAATATAAATCAGAATATGATAGTATGTTTTGAAGCATTTAGAGCGCTCTTAAAATACTTTCTTAAAGGGACACTTTCATGTTTAAAACGAATGTAGCTTAAATTTTATATAATAATATTTATTGGGTACCTACTGTAGTATGCAGAATGGTGATAAGTGGCAAAAAAACTTTAAATATGAGTCATGGCCTCCCAAAATTGATGGAGATTATCATATAATCAGAATTCAAGGCTTTTGGTTCCTATGGGGGTCAGAGGGCTAGAGGCTGGGCCGGCTAGATCATAAAAGGCTTTTTTTACATGGATGAGGAAGTAAGTAAGTGAGGTCTGCGGAAGCTTGAGTTCATCACGGCAGCAGAATGGGTTTGCTTTTCTGGTAGTGAGCTGACCTTCTGGTGAAGACTTTTGTCTCTGGTGTGACTGGAGAGACTAAGGATCATGGCTGGTTCACTTTCCTCATGTGGGAGAGCAGCCTGTTCACCAGGAAGGGAGGGGGTCAGAACGACCGCCCATGGGCTCAGCGGCTGGTGGCACTGACAGCACATGGCAATACTGACTTAGTTAACTACAAGTTAGTGTACTGATAAGAAGAGCTACGAAGATTAAGAGGAGGAAGAATACTGAGGACTGGGGCTCAAGTCTGGTCTTTTAATTCTCCCTTCCATTCTCTGCCATACAACGAACAAAGGGATGATTGTACACACCAGAAACCTGTCTGCTTCCCCCCTCCTTCTTTTCCGTGCTCTCTCCTTCCTCCTACCCTTGGCATTATTTAACCTTTGCAGTTAGCATTGGTGAAAGAGTCTTTGTTTTTCATTCAAAGACAGGGCGTTTTACCATAGTGCTGAGATTTCCATCTCATAACATTTTTTTTTCAAGTTTAAAGTTGGGAATCTTGTCTTACAGACAAGAAGAAATAATTTGTAGGCCCGAATAAGGAAATCAAATCAATCTAGGGACATCCGCAAGTGTTGGTTGTCTGGACAAGGGCCACTGTAGGCAGTCCCCTTTGGCGGCTGTTTTGTTTTGTGTCGTGACTAAAACTCTCCTCAAGACATGGTGGAGCTTGAAACAGCCAGGAAGAAGTTGAGAATGAGTTGGCAGCAAGGGATTTGACAAGGAAAAGAAAGTGCCTCCCGTGACAGACGCTTCAGAGGAAATGGAGGGTGGAGTGTTGTCATAGTTACTTTTCTGTTGCTGTCAGAAAATACCCTGACAAAAGCAGCTTTTAAGGGCTGGGGTAGATTGCTCAGCGGTCAACAGCATATACTGCTCGTCCAGAGGGTCCGTATGAGGCTTCCCACAATCAAATATAAGTCCAGGTCCAGGGGATCTGGTACCTTCTTCTGGGCTCTGCTACAGTGCACATGCCCCTTCCCCCACAGAACACACATATGCACATAATTAAAAATCAGTGTAGAAATATTTTCTAAAGGCAGTTGAAGGGAGGAAAGGCTCATTTTGCCTCGGTTCCAAGGTGAAATCCTTCATGGTGAAGCAGCTAAGATGGCAGGGACCTGAGCGAGCTGGTCACATTGCCTCCCTCGTCAGGAAGCTGAGAACGGAGGGTGCTAGTGCACAGCTCACTTTCTCCCTTATGTATAACCCAGGATCCCAACCCTGAGAATGGCACCACCCACAGTGGGTAGTTCTTCCTAAATCATAATCTCATCGAAACAACCCCTCAGAGTATGGCCAGAGAGCATCCCCAAGGGGATGATAGAGCTCATCACGTTGACATTGACCACCACAGGTTTGCCCGTCTCTTCATGTCGGTTTCCAGTGAGCGGAGGAGAATCCCTTTCGACTGGGATGAGCATGTCTTCTCCAGATGACCTCTGGTCCTCATGGGACAGTGAACCTTTGGGGCTTCTGCTTCAGGGACATTTGCTAGCATGTTAAAGTTACTACCTTCACTGATATTTTCCAGGGCCAGCCACTTATACATCAAGGGGTGTGTTCTAGTTCCAGTGGTAATGCCACTGACATTAGTGGTTCTTTCCCATAAGCCTAGGTATCCGGACACATTCGCTTTTGAGTCTTTACAGTTTGAATCAGATAGTGTGCATACATCTGGATTTACCATGGTGGCCATAATAATTGCAAATGTAATAGGAAAGGTCCCCAAGTCAGGGATCCGCGTTTACAGCATGAGTATAAGGTTGTGCAAGCCACTGTGTTTTGCCAAGAAAGCCTGCATCTCAAGACCCTCCCCTTTTTAGTTTCCCATGGCAGCAGTCTGCTAAGGGTGCCATAGCCCAGTTCCAGAGACTGATACCTTAAACAAAAGAATCCCCTCTGAAGGCTGGAAGGCATCACCAGGGTTGGTTTCTTCTGAGGTTTAGCCTTACCATCCAGATGGCTGCCTTCTTCCGGTGTTCTCATGTGCCTTTCCCACAAGCCTGAACGTCCTAGTATATCTGTGTATTCAGATTTATTCCTCTTGAAGTGACAGTCATCAGATTGGATCATGAGGCTTCCTAATTCCAATGGCCTCATTCCAAACTAAAGGTCCTGTCTCCAGGTACAGTTCCATCCGGAAGTTTTGGGGTTTGCAGCTTCAACGTATGAATTTTGGGATAGACATAGCGCAACTTGAAACACTCATCAAAGAATCACTACCACTTTTGTTCTATAAGAAAAGAATGTGCAAATGGCTTGGACGTGCTTACCTTGTCAAGATGCTGCTCATCTATCTCATTGCCTTTCTCCATGGCTCACCATAACCTAGAGTTATTCAGAATAATCCCTATGCTTAACTCCAGGTTGTCCAAGGCGGGCCTTAATCATATTACACTGCTCATGTACACTGCGAGAGACTGTCAACACCAGATGTTCCCTGTGAACAATCCATTTCATATGTGAGCAATCCATTTCAGTACTTATATTTATTTTCAAAAGAATGCCGCACTCATTAACATGATAATCGATTGTAATCAGCCATTGCAACTTGACACATTCTGTCGAGTTTCAGATAGTTTAAGCAGCAGGATACCAGATCTTGGGTGAATTCTCTTTGGCATTTTTCTTCCACATTCCCACCATGCCACTTTTCTGGGAAAGGATACCATCTCTTGAGGGTCCTTCTGCTTTCTCTTACTGTTTTGCATAAATTCAAAGCCCTGGTGGTTTCAAAGACTGAGGAAGTAGGCATGAAACTCCGAGGTCTCTTTTCTCCCTTTTGCTAGTCCTGTATCTCAGGAAGAGGTAACTTATTTGATCCCCAGACACTTTTCTGGTCTTTTGCTCAAATTAAAAAGGAAAGAAAAGCTATTTCTCTTATAGGTAAAGTGGATTCTCAGTTAAAGGCAGAGAAGACTTTGATTAAGTACTAGGAAACTTGGGAGTAGAAGCTCCTGCAGCTGAAAGCCCTGCAGTCATGACTCCTGGGCAGACGGCCTGCTGGGAAGGTGGGAATGCTGAACAGTTTCTCCTTCTCTTAGTAATGGTGACGTTCAGTTCAGACCATTCCAGCTGCTTGCTATTACCCAAGGCTTCTTTAAGGTCCATCCCCATATGGTACCAGGAGACACCTTGGGTTGAAATCACTCAAAAATAGCAGCACAGTGTCGCTTTGGCAGAAAGCAGCACTTAAAGCCCGAAATTAACATTTCCGTCCTTGTGGAGTTTTGAATTTCCATTCCTGGGTTCTCACTGAACCAGGTATGGAAACAAATAGCTTTGTGAAGAAGTATGTTGCCCAACTCACGCGAGGGGAAGGATGCTAAAGAACGAAGGGAAAACAAAAGGCAGCTCCTTAGAGTCTGGAAATATCTCTGACTTGATTCCAGAGAAGAAAAATATTTGCCATTCACGGCAAATCCAACGCACACAGTGTGCGTGCATACACACACACACACACACACACACACGCGCGCGCGCGCTTGCGTGCGCGCACACACACACACTGCTGTTCAGGCATCATCCCTTCCCTGTTCAGCAGCTAGTTGTCACTGGGGGCAGACAACAGAGTTTTTCCAAGAATGGAGGGCAGACCACTTAGAGTTCCCTTCCTACTTGGCTGATTGAAAGCAGTATGACACCATCGGCCTATGAGTAAGCCAGAACACCGCCCTGGACAGCAGAGCCAAGACTGAGGAAAGCAATTCCTCTGCTTCCGAAAAACCCAGTCTTTACTGAAATTAAATCTTCTTCCTTATGAAATCATATTTAATGTTAAATATGTGCAAATCTGCCAAAGGAGGACAAATACTTTGTATTCTGCCCATCCACAAACAACCACATTTATTATCTTCGTGTATAACCATGCTATTTTAACTACACATATGCATAAGGTTCATAAAAGTAGGATACAGTAATTTCCTTCACAATATTCCTTTTGTAGCCATGTCACTAGATGTTACTCTTTTCCTTATTGTAATTGTTCACATATGCTTTCATTTTTACAAACTAGTTTGTTCAGTTGATATGCAGATGATACATTAATTCAAAGGATATCCACAGTGGTTAGTTGTGCCTACACTGTAAGGGATTTCCATTATTTTCAGGGTGTTTTGTGAACATTTTTTATGGCTTTTCCTGTGCCCCTAATTGTGACTATTTAAATTGTGTCCTCT